AAACACACACACACACACACACACACACACACACACACACATACATATATTCCTTTTCAGATTCTTTTCCATTAGAGATTATTGCAAAGTATTAAGTATAGTTCCTATGCTGTACAGCAGGTCCTTGTTGGTTATCTAATTCATTAGTATGAATAGGCTTCCCAGATGACTCAGTGGTGGAGAATCCACATGCAATACAGGAGGCACAGGTTCAATCCCTTGGTCGGGAATAACTCCTGGAGGAGGAAATGGCAGTCCTGTCTAGTATTCTTGCTGGGAAAATCCCATGGAAAGAGGAGCCTGGTGGGCTACAGTCCATGGGGTCACAGAGAGTCTGATGCGACTGAGCACGCACCATACGTACCTACAAACAGTATGTATCTGTTAATCCCAAACTCCTAATTTATCTCCCCACTTCCATCCCCTTTAGTAACCATAAATTTGCTTTCTATATCCGTGAGTCTATTTCTGTTTGGCAAGTAAGTTCATGTGTATCTTTTTTTTTTTTAACCAACTTTACAACAGATACCAAAGGACCTTCTCTAGGTAGAAAAGGCCACAATGAGAAACGGGAAAATTATGAAATGTATCATTTTTTCAGATTCCACATATAAGTGATATCATATGGTATTTGTCCTCCTCCTCTATATGACTTTGCTTAATATGATAATCCTTAGGGCCATCATGTTGCTTCAAATGGCATTATCTCACTTTTTTATGTCTGAGTAAAAAACTTCTTAAGCAAGACTTTTTAAAAATGAAGATAGATTTGTGTGTGTTTGATTTGGGCTGCTCAACATCTGAAACCCCTTGTCGGATTGGGGTGCTTCTCTCGTATGTTTTGGAGAAGGGGTTCCGATTTGCTTTCATTCAGTGGGAAGCCAGTATGCTCTCCCTTCTGAGCCCTGGAATTTAGGAGATGGGGATTTGCTAGGCAGGGCAGTCCCTTTATATCTCCATCAAGTGAGGCAAAGGAGCAGGCTTGGAGAATACATATTAGAAGGAGCTGCATTTAGGGGGGCTCCCCTGGTGGCTCAGCAGTAAAGAATCCACTTGCAATGCAGGAAATGCGGGTTTAATCCCTGGGTCATGAAGATTCCCTGGAGAAGGAAATGGCTACCCATTCCAATATTCTTGCCTGGAGAATCCCATGGACAGAGGAGCCTGGTGGGCTATAGTCCATGGAGCTGCAAAGAGTCAGACGTGACTAAGCTACTAAACATTAACATTTAGGGCCTGGATCAGAAATCTCTGTGAGGCCAGTTTTCCTGGGAAGAGAGGTTGAGATTCTGTGCCTGAGTATCCCTCAGCCTTTGGTTTCCGGTAACTTCAGACCTGAATTTCCAGTCTGTGCACCGATCCTGAGTTGTTGTTTAGTCGCTAGTCTTGTCCGGCTCATTGAGACCCCATGAACGGCACACACAGGCTGCTCTGTCCTCCGCGCGCTCTCAGAGTTTGCTGAAACTCATCTCCATTGAGGTGATGATGCCATCCAGCCACCTCATCCTCTGCTGCCTCCTTCTTCTGCCCTATCTTTCCCAGCATCTCGGTCTTTTCCCAGTGAGTCAGCGCTTCTCATCAGATGGCCAAAGTATTGGAGCTTCAGCCTCAATGTAAAGCCCTTCCAATGAGTATTCAGGGTTGATTTCCTTTAGGATTGACTGATCCTGAGAGCTGTTTGCTATTATTTTGACAAATTCCTTTTCTGTTAAGTTTGGACAGGGATCCTTTCCACTGCTTGTAACTGACAACCCCAACACATTCATCTGTGTCCACGGCTCAATCCCTGTCTACTGGCCACTGAGATAATAGTCTTGGCTTAAAAGCTCTGGCCAGTCATATAAGTGTCCAGGCCACTAGTCAGCTAAATAGAATCTCCTGTTAATGCTGACTCTTAGCCAGGCAGCTGCTCTTCTTGTCTTCTGGTTTTGAAATATGTTCATGCGAGTTCCTGCACACGTGTCTCTAAGGACGCGCAGCACCTCAGAGCCCTTGGTTATTAAGAGCATTGGATGTAGCTTCACTGACCTGAATGATAAGCCAGTAGGTCACGTGGCCTGAGTAGTGTCTCTGTTAGGCCTTGGTCTGGATTCCTTGGCCATTTGTTGGAGGTACATCTGTCTTTATGCCCCCAATTTATTCAGTATACACTGCTTTAGAGAGCGCCTGTGTGTGCAGAGTCCGGCCATGTGTTCACGTCCTGTGGATGTCAGAGACCCTGACGGTTCTCTAGATCCCTCTGTCAAGCTGAACAAAAGGGGAGACTTTTTACATGGTAACTTTCTGGGTTCCCCTTAGGATTCTGTTTTTTTCTAATGTTTTTTTTTTGTTTAGTTTTTTCTTTTGGAAGCCATATGAGGTAGTATAGAAAAAGAAGTGAGATGGGAGAAGTAAAGGTTAAGCCTCGTTATTTTTTAAGATAAAAAATGTTGAATTTACCTTGTGAAATTAGACTTCTGCATGTCTCTGAACACCAAAAGTGTCCCATGTGTGTTCTCATCATTTACTGAATATCTAAGATCAGATGTGTGTGTGGCCACTCAATTCCAGAGCAGAGTTTTAACTGCTAAATAGCCATCGTGGTGGTGATTTAGTTGCTAAGTTGTGTCCAACTCTTGCTACCCCATGGACTGTAGCCCGCCAGGCTCCTCTCTCCATGGGATGCTCCAGGCAAGAATGCTCGAGTGGGTTGCTATTTCCTCCTCCAGGGGATCTCCCTGACCCAGAGATTGGGAGATTGTTTATCGTTGGGCCACCAAAATAGCTATGATTACAGTTTTTCTCATTTCTCTCATCACCCTATAGAAGCATGTCAGTTATCATAGACTTGCAGTTGTAGACGAGTAATTATATTCCCTCAGAGAATTTAGAAAGGAAACAGAGATGCGCTTCTGTTTTCAAACAAAACACAACCTCGGGCCCTGTCACGCGCCACGTCGGCACCTGCTCTTGGGAATCCTGTGTTGCCGTTGCTCTCAAGGGGGTTGCACGTCAGTCCCAGCCCTGTAAGTTCCCTGACACCTGGCTTTCCCACACGGAGTTTACAGCGCTTGCTGAAAAGAGAGGCTCACCTTTGATCTTTCAGCAACCAACCACAGGTTGTTGTTTTTTTTTTAATTGGAGTATAGTTGATTTACAATGCCATATTAATTTCTGCTGCACAGAAAAGTGATGGTTATATATATAGTCATCTTTTTCATGCTGTTTCATACTCTTATTTTTCATATTCTTTCCCATTATGGTTTATCACAGGATATTGAATATAGTTCTCTGTGCTCTACACAGGTACCTTGTTTATCCATCCTCTGTATAATACTTTGCATCTGCTACCCCCAAACTCCCACTTCATCCTTCTCTCATCTTTTCCCTTGGCAAACATGTGTCTGTTCTTTATTAGCACAATTGTATTACTATAATATGTGGAATCTTAAGAAGTGGTACAAATGAACTTATTTACAAAACAGAAACAGACTCACAGACTTAGAAAACAAAGTTAGAGTTGCCAAAGGGATTGAGGTGAGGGGAGGGATAAATTAGGTGTTTAGGATTAACATATATACACTGTTACATATAAAATAATCAAGAATGACCTGCTGTGTAGCACAGGGAACTCAATATTCTATAATAACCTAAGTGGGAAAAGAATCTATACAAGAGTAGATATATGTATAGCTGAATTACTGTGATATATGGAAACTAATACAACATTATAAATCAACTCCAACATAAAATAAAATTTTTTTAATAATATTATTTTTGTTCAGTCACTCTGTTGTGTCTGACTCTTTGTAACCCTATGGACTACAGCATGCCAGGCTTCCCTATCCATCACCAACTCCTGGAGCTTGCTTAAACTCATGTCCATAATGTTATAGGAGGCATTTGTAAAGTAGGTCTCTTAGTGACTCAATTAATCTGTGAGCAGAAGAAAGCTTCCATATATCGAGACTATTTCATTCCTGAGTTAAAGGAAATTGCAAATGTAGACATGTCTTAAAATTCAAGGAGCTTATATTGTACAACAGTATTTTAAAATCGGAGGGCTTGCATTCTGCCAAAGCCTTTTGGAACATACAGATTATGTGTGATTCCTTGAAGACTCCCCAAGGCCCCTTGTATTCCAGCTTGTCTGAATGACCTACTCTATAGTGATGCCCACTTTTTAGACTCGGGTGTTAAGGAAACTGGATATCTTCCTAGTTGCTTTAGATTTCAAGGCACCTGGCCATCAAAGGGAGGCTCACGCATTGTTGAATCTAGGTGACATGGTGGCATACTGCCTCACAACACTGAGGAGCTTTATCTGTGCCTATAACTGAAATAATATAGTTTGTTGTGAATATGAATTGGTAGCTCCCAAGCAGAACGTTTATGGGGACCTATGAGAAGAGGTTGACTGTGCTAACCAGGTTTGCAAGAGTCTCTTGTTTGGTCAACACTTTGCCAATGACCATGGCTCCATGTTTTTATTATACCTGACGTCTGGCTCTGGTCAACATTGAAAAATTTATAAATATGTAAATATGCATGGCCTTCTAGTATTTTGTGCTTCTACAATAGGATGCTTTCAGGGGATCTTGGGAAATAGTGATTTTGACTACCTTTGTTTTTTTAAAGGGAATTCTTCATTCATTTAAAGTAAAAAAAATCTTATTTTTGCTCTTCTCATCTGGAAGTCACTTTGTCATCCTTGTTCTGTCCCTTGTTCTCTTTCTTTATCCTGTTTCTTTAACAGTCCTACCCCTGAGAACACATATACATGGAAATGTCATAGTAAAAAAGTTGACTTTTTTTTTTTCCATATGGATGTCTGAATCTTCGCTGATGGAAGGTTTGGGAATACAGTCAGTTTGATTTAATTTTTGGAATTTAATTAAATGGTAGTTTTATACTCTGAGGACATACAGACTTAATTAGTGAAAACGTCTTTTCAGATCTTCATGGAACAGCCTTCACTTGTGTGTTTTTGTGTCTAATTCATGGTGTGTTTCTCGTTTCAGTCCCATTAAAGATATCCATGATGTTTTGGAAGTGACAGTGTTTGATGAAGATGGGGATAAGCCTCCTGATTTTCTTGGAAAAGTCGCCATTCCCTTGCTGTCTGTAAGTTACCTTCATTAATACACAATATGTGAATCATTTTGCAGTTGACAAGTTTCTGTGATCTAGAATCACTTTGTCTTTGTCCGTCTGCAGAGGGGGAAAGCCCTCCCCAGCTGTGTGCTGTGCTGTGCTAAGTTGCTTTGGCCATGTCCGACTCTGTGCGTGCTATGGACTGTAGCCCGCCAGGCTCCTCTGTCCGTGGCATTCTCCAGGCAAGAATACTGGAGTAGGTTGCCATGCCCTCCTTCAGGGTATCTTTCTGAGCGAGGGATCGAACCTGCGTCTCTTACCTCTCCCGTGTTAGCAGGTGGGTTCTTTACCACCGGCACCACCTGGGAAGCACCCCCACCCCCCAGCCATAGCAGGAAGCAACTGTTTTATTCCTTATCCTTCTCCAGTACTTCCAGTAATTTGCAATGGAAAGTCACATAATTTCTCTCTGTATGTGTCAATTGCATATTGATTTAACCAACCAAGATATTTTGACCAGTCTCTCAATCCACCCTGGCTCTTTCCATCTTGAGATAGAAGTTTCACTTTGGTTTTCTGGGAACACACATCTATGGCTGATTTTCCATTGGTGAATGAAGAACATACACATTTTTCTTTATTAACTTCTTCCTGCCCATTTCTTCAAAGATTACTTGCTGGTAATTGCACAGCTTTTCTCAATTCTACTAAAGACCATTTTCTCAAAAGTTGTTTGCCTTTGTGTGTGTGTGTTGAGTCGCTCAGTCATGTCTGACTCTTTGAGACCCCATGGACTGTAGCCCACCAGGCTCCTCTGTCCGTGGAATTTTCCCAGGAAGAATACTGGAACAGGCTGCTATTTGCTCCTCCAGGGGATCTTCCCGACCCAGGGATCGATCTTGCATCTCCTGCAGTTCAGGCAGGCTCTTTACCACGGAGCCACTGGGTAGGGCTTTTTGGCAGTCTTATTTGTTTTCAGTCTTCAAAAATAGTTTGTGGAAGAAATAGAGAGCCTCTCTTGCAGAAAGAGAACTGTTATGATCGTCCCATTAAAAGGTAGGCTTCCTAGGTGACTCAGTGGTAAAGAATCTGCCTGCAATGCAGGAGACACAGATTCAATCCCTGGTTGGGAAGATCCCTTGGAGAAGGAAGTGGCAACCCACTCCAGTATTCTTGCCTGGAGAATCCCATGGACAGAGGAGCCTGGTGGGCTACGTACGGTCCCTGGGGTCACAGAGAGTCGGATGTGACTGAGCAACTGAGCATATGTTGAAAGGTAAATGCGGGGACTTTCCTCGTGGTTCAGTGGCTAAGACTCTGCACTCGGTGCAGTGTTCCATCCCTGGTCACGGAGCCAGATCCCGCATTCCTCAAGTAAGAGTTCACACGCCACAACTAAAGACCCTGCATGCCACAGCTAAGACCTGGAGCAGCCAAATAAATAAATCAATGAATATTAGAAAAAGCAAATGGTTATGTGTCAGAGTGAGCTAAAAGTTAAATGATAAAAATACTCTATAAAACTCAGAGGAGAAAGCACCAAATGATGTCTTTACATGGGCCAACATGGAAAGCTGGGATCTGAATTCACCTGTTAATTGGGCATTTATATACTCTTCTAGAGGAGGGAGTTTCAGTTTTTCATCCAGTCATTCATACAGTGTATAGTAGAATTGTTATGACCTTTATCAGTCAAGAAGGATTTTTTTTTCTTCCCAAAGATGTATTTCCCCACAGTTCTTAGCGCGTGTTAGAGCAGTCTGTAATTTATCCACGAGATTAGACCAGCTCACATGGTATTTACAGAGGGGAGAACGCTGTCTCAGTATCTCTTTTCGTTTTGATTGCTTGGTTAATTTCTCCCCGAATTCTCATATCCCTGACGTGACTTGAAGAGTGTGGCAGAGCAGCTGTTCCCTTGTAGATCCGCCTGCTGCCAAATGTTCTGAGCCGTCAGCCGCAGGCCATGCCAGCTCTCAGAGAGGACACTGTAATTTGGGACTCCCCTCCTTTTTTTTATTATGACTTTGTCAGTTATTCCTGGAAGACTTTATGTGCTAAGAACATGGGGCACAATTTTTAAGGAGGTCTAAAAGTACAGGAAAACAGGGCTCTCTTTTAGAATTTAGTGTCCTTTTTCCCTCTAACATATTTTGGACATTTCTCCTCTTGTTTTAGTAGGTAAATCCTTAGTAGCATTTTGTATCCCTTGAAGGGTGAATGCTTATGCTCACGCTCAGCTATTCCAGTGCTGTCCGACTCTTCGCGACTCCATGGACACAGCCCCCCAGGCTCCTCTGTCCTGGAAATTTCCAGGCAGGAATACTGGAGTGGATTGCTATTTTCTTCTGCAGGGGATCTTCCTGAGCCAGGGATCAAACCTGCATCTCCTGGGTCTCCTGCATTGCAGGCAAATTCTTTACCGTTGAGCCACCGGGGAAGCCTGGTTGAATACTACTTCGTATCTTTATTAAACTCCCTCTGTTTCATATATTAACATTTCGTGTATTCTGTCTTTCTAGAATACCAACAAGTTAACCCAACTTTCTTTCCTCCTTCCCTTGTAATGTACAGTCACTGTATGCTGTGGAGTTAGAGCCAAGAAATTACCTCTGGCTAAATCAGAGTTTACAGCCAAGACTACTGGAGTGGGTTGCCATTCAACTCACTTCAGATTCTCCAGGGGATCTTCTAGACTCAGGGATCGAACCTGTGTCTCCTGCATTGCAAGCAGACTCTCTACTGCTTGAACCATTGGGGAAGCCCTTCAGAAATCAGATTTAGGGTTTCTCAACCTTAGCACTTCTGACATTGCTGGATGTATCATTCTTGGCTGTGGGACTTTCCTATGCGTTGTAGGAAGTTGAGCAGCATCCCTGATCTCGATCCACTAGATATCAGTAGTACCCATCCACCCATCACTATTGTGATAACCAAATATGCCTTTGCAGACATTCCCAAATGTTCTGGGGCAGAATCACTACCAGTGGACTAGAGAACCATGGATGCAGATTAATAGAGTTTCCAAACTATAGCCTTCAAAATATAAGATAGAGTGATATGCGATAGAGTCATTCATTTGATTTCAATGAATGCAAGTCCCCAGTCCCCTTAAGTTTTTTCAGGTTGTTGATAAGCTACCCTGCAATGTAAGTATGCATTTGTTTGATAAATATCTATCAAGTGTTCAGTATGTGCCAAGAACTGTTGTAGGTTGTAGTATGCTAACAATGACCACAGTGAAGCTATCTCCTCTTTTGGAACTTCCCTTTGGATTATAAGAGGCAATATACAAACCAGAACCACATCAACAAAAGCACTAGATAGTAGGTTAGGGGCTACCCTGGTGGCCCAGACAGTAAAGAATCTGCCTGCAGTGCAGGAGACCTAGGTTTGATCCCAGGGTCAGGAAGATCCCCTGGAAATGTGCATGGCTACCCATTCCAGTGTTCTTGCCTGGAGAATCCCATGGTCAGAGGAGCCTGGCGGGCTACAGTGCATGTGGTTGCAAAGAGTCAGACACCACTGTGCAACTAACACTCTCATGCACTTTGATGGTGAAAAGTGCTATGCAGAAAATTAAGCGGAGAATTAAGCAGGCAGAGGGGCCTTGTAGAGGATGTGTGGGGGGAAGGGATGCAGTTCTCTGTGATCTGGGCAGGGAGGGCCTCACTGGACGGGGAACGTTTGAGAGAGAGCTTCAGTAGGTGAGAAATGGGATGTGTGGGGAGATTTCAGGCAGGAAATCTTCAAGTTCAAAGGCTCCAGGCCAGGTGTTGATGGTCAGATTCCAAAAATAGCAGAGTGGACAGTGTGGATGGAATGGAGTAGGGAGCAGCAGGTGTGGGATAAGAAAGGACAGGGGATAGAGTGGCATGGGAGAGTACTTGTGAGACCCTGAGGCCTGAGAGGTAGAAGGACTGTGGCTCTTCTTTACTGGTGACTAAACCACTGGGAGGTTTCCAACTGCGGAGTGCTTCATTTGGTTTATACTGCTTGTTTCTATACACATGTGGCATATGGAGAAAAATGCCCAGATCTGAAAGGTCTCCATTGTGTCAAGGCAGACTGGCCTGAGCCACTTTTCACCTTAGGCACTTCAGGGGCCCAGAGATGTTGAGCTGAATAAGACATGTCAGCCCCCATTGTTTAGTGTGGCTGTTTCAGTTCAGAAGTATTTCCAGTGCTTTGGCCAATAGGTTGGAAAGTGATCATATCTTACACAGGATCTGTGTGGCTCTTCCTGATACACCTGCAACATACCTTCTCCAAATGAATTGATCCCCTACCTAAAGAGAAAGTATAAATGCGGTAGAAAACAAGGCCATAAGCCTCAGTATCTGTAATCACATTTTGTTTATTTCATTGCTCTTTTGATTTTTAATTTATATTATTTATATTTACAGTATTTATAGTTTTCATTGCTTATAATTATTTTCAAAGAATTCTAACTTGTGATTTAGAGGGTGTGTTTCAAAATATATTTATTTAGCTCTAGTTTTTTTTAATTTAATGTCTGTGAGCAATGCTTACCTAGAAAGCACTGTGCACTTCCCATATGGCACATAACTAATTCTGTGACAATCTAACAAGGCATGCGTTATTATTATGACCATTTACAAATGAGAAAACTGAGGCAAGGAAAGACTCCTGTAGCTGGAAAGTAGTAAGGCTAGGTTTGAATTAAGAAATCTCATCTAAGAGCCATCCTAAGAGGATGTTGTGCTGCTATAATGAGTAGCTACTAAGTAAATATTGAGCCAAAAGCAATAACTGATATCTGTTTTATGCAATCACAAGGCTCAGCACAGTGGAGGTAGAGGGTGGGCGTTCAGGTGGGACAGAGTTAAAGACTTGCCTGTCATGGGTAATGTCCATGAGGCAAACATTAAACACCTGAGATGTTAGGTGCCAATAAAGGGAACAGGAAAATGCATGATTGGAGGGCTGAATTTAACTTTGGGATGACTTTAGGAAGCGGGTGTCTGGGCTGGCCAAGAAGGAGTCGAGTGTTGATAGGGACAGCTGGA